GTAGACCAGAAAATCTGTTATGACTTTGATTGGGGTTCATGTCTGTAGACCAGAAAATCTGTTACAAGTTATCTTTTGATGTTTGGTGAAGCTCTAGTATCTTGTAAGTAAAAAAAGCGGGAAATTATGGCCAGATGCTTAGCAGAAGCTAAGTTCAAGAGTATGGCATCGTGTGTAGTTGAAGTTACATGTCTATTAGGTCTGTTTAAGAAGCTTGGAGTTGAATTACATCAGCATGTTGATATGTTCTGTGACAACAAAGCTGCAATCCAAATAGCAGTTAATCATATATTTCATGAAAGGACTAAACACCTATATATTAGACTATTATTTTGTGAGGAAAAACTGTGCTAAGGGATGATTACAACATATCATAAATCTACAAGGGACCAATTTGCATATCTGTTAACAAAGAGCATTGGTAAAGCACAACATGAGTTCTTGTTGAACCAGCTTAGAGTTGAAAATATATTGAGGCCATCAACTTGAGGGAAGTGTTTGAAGTGCAGCATGCTGATGTGGCAAGAGCTGTTATATCACGATTCAAGTCCATGGTATGTATTTTCCGCTTTGGATCTCGTCCCGCACATATTTATACATTTTAGGATACACCAGCTCGAGCCCCAAAAGCGCGTGTACTCTATGAACTTGTGTCATGCCTTATAAAGCTTTGCACTTTCCTTTCCTAAGGTGACATGTGCACCCCTTCTTCAGAATCTTGTCATCCTAGAAGCCTGCTAGTCCTGCTTGACCTGCCCTCATCAGCCGACGCTCCATCACGGGCATAACATTCAACCCTTATTGGGGCTTGGCGTTCTTATTGAGGTTTGTCCAAGTATTGTACCAAGGGAGATTTGATTTTGATACCATATTTAATATGACCCAAGCCCATGACACGTATTGTCCGCTTCGGGCCTAGGCTTGCAGGAATTTATCCTTTACATCACCTCAAGCGTGCATACCATGTAAGCTTATGCCATGCCTTATAAAGCTCTTCACTTTCCTCTCTCATTTCGATGTAGGATTCGCCTAAGGTGACATGTGCACCCCTTCTTCAGAAGCTTCTCTGCCTGGAAGCCTGCCAGTTCCTGCTTGACCTGCCCTAGTCAGCGCGACCTCCACCATGGGCATCACATTCACCCCTCTTGGGACCAGCGACTTCGCTGAGCTTTGCCACACCATTGAACTGAGAGAGATTCTGATACCATATTTTTCACGGCCCAAGCCCATGGCACGTACTGTCTGCTTTGGGCCTATGTTCGTACAGATTCGTCCTTTTTGGGCTACGCTACCTCGATCCCCCGAAGCGCGTATACCATGTGAACTTGTGTCATGCCTTATAAAGGTCTTAATTTTCCTCTCCCATTCTAATATGGGATTCGCCTAAGAAGACATGTGCACCCCTTCTTCAGAAGCTTACCACCTAGAAACCTGCCTGTCTAACTTGACCCGCCCTCATAACCCGCCCTCCGTCATAGGCATCATATATTAAAGAGTTTTTAGTTTGTTAGCTTAACTTAAATTAGTTGCACTTGGTTAGCTAATTGTTTTTCTTATTAGTGTTAGCTTCTTTGTATAAATAGGGGGCTTGTATACCACTTATTTCATACACCTGAAGGAATGAGAATGAGTTGGCTCTCTTCAAGTATCTTTTTTGGTTAGTCTTCTTCTCCTTTTACATTCAGTTAAACTTGACAGATAATATAAAGAATTATTCCAAGTTTTATAGAATACAACTTTTCTTGTACAATGTACCTTATATATTCATGTGAAGATCATTGGCGGAGGCATGATTTCTACTAAGTTGGTTCAGACAAGGTGAAGTAAAAAATTGAAAGAAATTGTGGCCAGTGGGAATTGGTTAAGTTTTAAACCCCCTTAACCACTAAGCTATATTTTTTATGACAAGGAGATTCAAAACATCATATATATAGAGGTAGAAAACAGATTTTGCCTTATATATACAATGTAATTTTTCGGCGAAGCGAGCTCGGGTGAATACCCTTCCGCCCCCCTAAATCTGTCCCTGGCGAGGCCAATGTAAGATACTCTGTTTATATAGGTAACAAGAGAGACTAACACGCTATGAGCGTACTTTATTACTATAATAAAACGTCTTTATATTTTATACATTATAACCATGGAAGATAAACAAACAAGCAATTAAGGTTGAGTAACTAAGATAATTAATCTTACAAAACTAATGAAATAGAAGTAATCATCCATGGAAGATAAAGAAATACACAATCAAAGCTGAATAATTAAGATAATTAAACTTACAAAACTGATAGCCCATGGAATAAAAGTAACAAAAATAATATTTTTTTGGCTCAAGGATAAAATGGTCACATAGTTTTTAAAGGATATTTCAGTAAATTATATTTGTGTTAAATAATATGAGGGTAGTTTAGTCTTTGTAGCTAAAGGTTGCTATCAATTGTTATTAGTTGTTAGAAAGTTAGTTAATTAGTTAAATATATACAACCAAATGTGGTGTATAAATATATGTACTTACCTCCAACAAACAGAGTTTCTTAGCTATCTTCGTCTCTTTCCCTCTATCTAAATGACTGTGTCTTCTTCTTCTTCCTAACATCTTCATCTTCATTGTATTTCTCTGTAAATCACAACATGGTATCAGAGCTTTTAAGCTCAGAAAATTAGCTTACATCTCGATCCTAAATACAGATTCTACTCCCTTCTTGATTGTTTCTGTTTTCTATGAAAAATTGTAATTACCAGATTCGTGAATCCTTGAGTCAACAAGAAAATAGCAATTTCGGATGAACAATTGGGCCAAACACCAGGAATTCAAATCGCTGGTGACCAAGTGAATCAAAATGATGGAAATCAAGCAACTGGGATTCACTATAATCATCCTCTCTTCCTATCCTATGTTGATGTAAGTGGTATTCAGATTATTTCATTACAATTGACTGGAATTGAGAACTATTCCATCTGGTTAAGGTCTATGCGAGTAGCCTTGCTAGGAAGAAATAAGTTGGGTATGGTTGATAGTACGTGCAAGAAAGAAAAATTCCCACAATCAATGTGGAATTACTGGGAAAGAGTCAATAAAATTGTGCTATCTTGGATTATGAATTCAGTGGCAAAAGGACATCTTGGAGGAATTATGTATGCATCAAGTGGTCAGGTGGTTTCGGGAGATCTTTCAGAAAGATTCAACAAGGTTGATTGGTCAAGAACCTATAATCTGCACAAGGAAAATAGCAACACTGTCGCAAGGCACAACTTCTGTATCAGTCTACTTCTCAAGGTTGAAGGACTTATGGGAAGAATTTGAGGCTTTAGTGCATGCACCTGGGTGTGACTGTCCAAAATCAAGAGAATTTGTGGTGTATTTGCAAAAGTTGAAGTTATACCAATTCTTGATGGGATTAAACGATTCATACTCTCAAGCTAGGAGCCTAATCTTGATGAGAAGTCCCATTCCTACAGTAAATCAAGCATATGCATTAATTATAAGTGATGAGGGACAGAAGTCTGTTGCTGCTGCCTCAGGAATTTTGGGGTCTAATCCTACAAGTCAGATGGGAAACTATGAGGTTGCTATGTACTCGAAAGCTGGAGGAAATTAGAATCAGAACCAAAGGTTTGGAAGAAACCACAATTTGTACTGTGAATTTTGAAAAATGAAGGGATATAGCAAAGAAAATTGTTATAAGATTGTCGAATATCCTGCAGATTTCAAGAACAAAAGAATAGAAAATGCTATTACAAATGCAGCATACAATGTCAATCTAATGCCAGAAGCTGATCACTCTACAGCTCAAGATCATTAGCAACTACCTATGTTCAATTATGGACAAAATACAAATGTTCAGGATCATGTCAAAACTTGAGGTAGTTCTCAAAGCTCTAATCTGAATATAGAGAACTCAGGTCTTGAGAACTATGCTCTCACAAAAACACAGTATGAACGGATTCTTCAAATGTTGAACAAAACCAGTATGCCAAATTTTACTTCAGCAGCTAATATGGCAGGTATTGATACAACTCTATTAGTTTATAATTGTCTTAGTTAGTGGATCATAGATACAGGAGCAACAAATCATATGGTATATGACAAAAACTTACTGGATGAGGGAACAGTAACTGAAACAAGCAATCCAAAGAAAGTATTATTACCAAATGGTGACATTACAATTGAAACTCATACAGAATCAACTTCTATATTATAGAATAGCACAATAACAAATGTATTTTATGTTCCTCAATTCAAGTACAACCTATTGTCAGTTTCTAAGATAACCAAAGAGTTGCAATGCTCAGCAACCTTCTTTCCTCATTTTTGTGTGTTTTAGGAGCTCTTCACTGGGAAGGTGAAGGGGATTAGTAAAGAGGATGGTGGCCTATACAATAAGGCAAGAAACTTATAGGATGCAAGTGGATTTACAAAATCAAGTACAAAGCCTCAGGTGATATTGAAAGGTTCAAAGCTAGATTAGTAGCCAAAAGCTATAGCAAAAATGAGGGAATTGATTAGCAAGAAACATTTTTACCAGTGGTGAAAATGGTCATAGAAAGAACTATTCTTGCTTTGGCAGCTACAAGGAAGTGGCATATACATCAAATGGATGTATATAATGCCTTCCTTCAAAGTGATTTATTTGATGAAATTTATATGGAATTACCACAGGAATTTAAAAGTCAGGGGGGAGAATACTATGTATAGACTTGTTAAATCCCTGTATGGGCTCAAACAAGCCCCTAGATGATGGAATGCAAAACTGTGTGAAGCATTGCTAAGGTTCAACTTCAAACAAAGTCAGTATGATCATTCCCTATTCATCAGAAAAACAACTGAAGCTACTACTATAATTCTAGTATATGTAGATGATATGTTAATCACAGGTGACAGTCTGCAATTGATTGAGGAAACAAAAATCCTACTGCACAATGCATTCAAAATGAAAGATCTGGGGGAGCTAAAATACTTCTTAGTAATTCAGTTTGCCAGATCCAATTAAGGAATAACTATGCATCAGAGAGAATATGCTTTGGAACTAATTTCAGAAGTTTGCTTAGCTGCATCCAAACCAGCAATAACTCCGATTGATGTTAACATCAAATTAACCTCTAAGCAGAATGATGACTGCATTGGTAAGGCAGAATGTTCAGAAGAAGAAGACAGATTGGCTGATCAAACTTCCTATCAAAGACTAATAGGAAAACTACTATATTTAACTGTAACCAGGCCAGACATAGCATTTGGAGTTCAAACTCTTAGCCAATTCCTTCAACATCCCAAAAGATCACACATGGAAGCTGCTTTAAGAATAGTGAAATTTGTTAAAAGTCAGCTAGGGCAAGGGATTTTGCTATCAAGCACTCAGAACAATACAATCACTGCTTTTTATGATGCAGATTGGGCTACATGCCCTTTGACTAGAAAATTAGTTACAGGGTTCCTAGTTAAGTTGGTAACTCCTTAGTCTCTTGGAAGTATAAGAAACAAACTACTGTATCTCGAAGCTCTGCAGAAGCTGAATACAAAAGCTTAGCAACAACAGTAGTTGAACTCATTTGGCTGTATGGTTTACTAACAGAAGTTGATACGCAGATCCAGTTACCTATCAATATCTACAGTGACAGCAAAGCAACTATACAAATAGTGGCAAACCCAATCTACCATGAAAGAACCAAGCACATTGAAATTGATTGTCACTTTGTGAGGGAAAGAATTCAACAAGGACTTATCACCAAATATGTTGCAACAACATACAACCAGCTGATATTCTTACAAAGGGACTAACCAAAGTGCAGCATGAATATTTAAAATCCAAACTAGGTGTGATCAACATTTTTCCACCACTTAATTTGAGAGGGGGTGTTAAATAATATGAGGGTAGTTTAGTCTTTATAGCTAAAGGTTGTTATTAACAATTAATGATTGTTAGAGAGTTAGTTAATTAGTTAAATATATACAACCAAATGTGGTGTATAAATTGTTTACCTTGAAAATGGTATTAACAATTATATTTGATTTTATGGTTCTAAAAATATGTGATTTATTTCAATACTAGTTGTTTGGCAATAGATGCTAAGTATAAGTAAAGAGAACAAGATATGCAAACCAATGCCATCGCATGACTGGGCCTCGAGCTGGCTAGAACAGGGTGCCTCAAGGTCTAGTTAAGGCGGTTAGCAATGAACAATTGATGAAGAAACAATGATATCGAAGACCTCGAGATAGACTTTTGCGGATAATAATGGGAAATAAATGAAGAACAATGAATGAATAATAAATGAACAATCAATAAATCTGTAAAGTGATTGTTGAACACGTTTAGGCAAGAAAAGTAGAGAATGTTCTATTTTATTCAATATTCATGTTTTTCTTACAAAATGACAAGGGTCCCCTTTTTATAGGAGGGGGAGGGGGGAACCCCAGCACAGTACATGTCTAATAATGACAAGGAAATGCTATTGGTACAGCTGTATAATGGCTTAGTACAGATTTGTGATATTTCTCGTAGACTCTGTCACTTCTAGTCACGTGCCCTCGCGAATTTCCCGCCTTTCCATGACGATCGTCGATTTTCATGCTGCCTCGAGGTATGTTGTGATGAGTCTTAGATAAACCTTCTCAAGGCGAGTGCTTCGGGGATGATCCTTAGACTGTGCTTCGATCCCATCAAGGCCGGGCTTGAAACGCCATAGAAGCCTTAAAATCGGCCTTCCCTGATTTTGACCGTATACAGATAGTCCCCGCGTTTCTTGGAATGAAATAACAAGGAACAATTTGAATTCTTCAACTCTTCAATGCCTCAATCATTGCGTCCGTTATGTCATGCGAGTGATTGATGTGATAAAGAGGTATGTTCAAAAGTCACGTTCGCATGGCTCTTGAAAAGCCTCGAATTGATTACAACGGTTGGCCGTCCTTTAGTTTTCCCCAACGTGCACTATTGGCCCCTATAAATACTCTAATCCTTCACTCCCTACTCTTCCTCATATCTCCAAACTTTCAACAACTCTTTTTACTTCCTTCTTGTGTTCATCTCCCATCCACTTTTTCTCTTTTCCTCTGAGATCTTTCAGCAAAAATGGCGAAGACCTCAAGAACCATTCCCCAAGATGATAAAGCTTCTTCATCTTCACGCTCGTCTAAAGGCAAGGCCATAGTACCTCCTCGTCTTGAGGAGTGCATCCCCGGACCCTATGAAACATCCTCTGATTTCACGGTTGACAAGCCTTCTTCAAAATCGGGGCGGTGCGAACCCATGTCTCGATATATTAGCCTGATAACCGACACTGGGAAGGTTAAAGCTGATTGCTACTGGGGAGAGGTTGTGCAAGTGGAGATTCCATCTCAGGAGGAAGACGTAACGACACATAAAACCGGTTTCCTTAGTGTATACACATATCCTTTTACCCTAGGTCCGGTAGAACCATCCTCGCCATCGATAGACCCCGTGATCCTCGATTTCTGCAGACAATATCGGGTGACACTCGGCCAAATCCATCCATCATTCTAGCGCATTGTTTACATGATTAGGCACTTTGCAAGCATGGTCGAGGGGATGCCTTTTACCCTTGACCATCTGATTAGGATGTACAACCCCCGACTTTATCGAGGTGGTCTGATTAAGCTTCAACATCAGGCCCCGAAGATTCTCTTTGCTTGCACCGACGAAGGCAAGGACAGAGGGTGGATGAGCCGCTTTGTCCGAGTTAGGACCTCGGATCTAATTCCTGTTGAAAGGATGCCATTCCCTGAGGAATGGAATATGAATCGTAAGTGAATATGTTAATTAAATATTTTCTCTTTCCTTTGTACCATCTTTCCCTTGAACTAACTCCCTTCGATGATGCAGTTGTTGTGTGGTACCCTGGCGCGGTTAAGGATCTCTCGGGCTGGGTTCGCCAGCTCGATTTGACTTGCATGTATGCTAAGCGCGTGTGGTGCGATTTGGCCAAGGCCCGATGGGAAGCAAAAAATCATGGTGAGGTTTTTCTTCTGCCGTACTTGAGCTCTTTAAAAGAGATACCCCTTGACTGTATTCTTATTTTTTGTACCTACCTTTGGTGTTTGTGCAGGCCTGGGAGAGGCCTCTTTGATGATGGAAACCTCCTCCGGGAAGGCAGATACCCCAAAACTTACCAAGGAGAAGAAGAGGAAGAGAAAATCACCGACTAAGTCCCCCTAACCGAAGAAGGCTAAAGCTCAAAAGCCTAAGGTCAATTCAGCGGCCTTAACTTCGGAAGCAGCAAACAGCCCCCGAGCTGAAGGGAAAGATGACTCCCCGCTAGCACTCGGGGGAAGAGAAAGCGTGTCTGCTTCGGATCCTGCTGAGCCGATGGCTGTTAAGCCGAAGGCTTCTAAACCAGAAGTTGCTGATGTTGTCCCACCTCAGGCGAAGAGGCTCTCGAGGGTGGGTCAGATGATGTCCCTTAGCCGGTCGACGGCCAATTCATTTCCCGAGCCGAGGGGCATTCGGTAGATGAGTTAGGGGAGCCCAGCTCTGAGGCTCCCCGGAGGCAAGAGAAGGCCCCGATCGATCCAACCGGAGTTATTGATGTTGGTAATTCTCCGCCGGGTCTAGCATTCTCTCCAAGGGAGATACGAGATGCCCATAATAGAGAGACTTCCGATGCGGGGGCGTCCCTTGGGGAGAATGACGTGTTTGAAGGATTATTCACTGGGTCAAAGCAAACCCCGAGCTTAACGCCTCGCTCATTTTCGAGGTAGCCGAGAGGCTATGCAAAAATGTAATCTTTCGTCGACTATGCTCTGAGCTCCGATCCTCATCTTCCTGATTTTGTTCTTTTATGCTTTTAGGCTATAGCGCTTTACAATCGGGCCTTTGCTAAGTCCCAAGCTGAGTTGACCTGCTATGAGGAAGAGTGTAGGAGGCTCTCATCAAAGGCTGACGAGCTCAAAGCTCTTTTTACCAAAAAGGAGGAAGAACTTCATGACCTTCGGGCTCATTTGGAGACGTGTCTCGAGAGCGGATCGATCTTGTTGAGCAGGTAATACAGTCTCCTTATGTTTTTATTTTCGTGTTTGCCCGACTTTAGCATTTAATACCTTTGGGTTGTTTTTTGCAGCTTGAAAAGAAATATATCCTGATGAGGGAGGGACTCAGAGCCAGGGATATTGAGATTCTCGGACTCAAGCAGCGTGTGGACGAGACAGCCTCCGAGATAGATACCCTCCAGGGGAAGTTAACCTCGATTGAGCATCATCTTCAGGATGCAAGGGCGGATAGTAGTAAGTATAAGGATCTCCATGCTGAATCGGCCGTGCTATCTGCAGCCAAGTCCGAAGCCGAGCGCTCATATCCTCGTACCGAGAAGATGCTGCTGCTGCGAATGCTCGAGCCAAGAAGGTATCTGAGAGGCCGAGATTGAACTGACCTGAGCCCTGGAGCATGCCCAATTAAGATCTTGGAGATAGGCTCTCGAGGATATACATGCAGGGGGCATCGATTTGTCTGCTGAGATCGAGAGGGTGAAAGCCCTAGAGGAAGAATCGGCAGCTCTGCTTTCTTTTGATGATGGTTCAGCCAGTGGTTCGGCCAGCGGCTTGGAGGATGATGAAGATGAAGGTGAAGTCCCTAAGGGGGATGAGGCAGTTGATGTTTCGGGGGTCGAGGGCCAAGCCGTTGAAGGCACATCTTCTGAGGAAGCTCCGTCCGGTCAAGTGACCCCGGCGGTAGATTAGGTTTTTGTTTGTTCCTTTTTTGTGTAAGGACTCCAGGCGTAAGCCTTGCAAATATGTCTTTGTGAACCTTTATTATATATATAAGGATCTTCGCTTTTCGTCATTTCTTGTCTTCCTTTTGCCTTTTTGGAATAAACTTTGATGCTTGTCGAAAACCAGTCCGATGTGTCGGACTTATAATATAAACCCCTTAGGTTTTCATGCTCGATGAATGATCGATAACAGTTAACCGCTCCGAGTTCGATCCTCGAGTCAAATTTCGACCCGGGGCTATCGACCCTTAAGTTTTTAACACATTGGCCTTTAGGCTCTTTAGATCGGCCCTTAGGTTCTTTAGGCTGGCCCTTAGGCTCTTACGAATTGGCCCTTAGGCTCTTTAGGCCGGCCCTTAGGCTCTTACGCATTGGCTCTTAGGCTCTTTAGGCTGGCCCTTAGGCTCTTACGCATTGGCCCTTAGGCTCTTTTTAGATTGGGTCGATGCGACCTCTAATATGGCTATAGTTTTCCCTCATTTTGGCTAAAGACTTTTGAAGTTTTGATTATGCCTTGGCATGTTTTATGTTCGTCCGAATCTTCGACGGCTCAAACGTGAACCTCGATTATGAGTCGATATGTGACGATAGCTGAGTATCTCGGGAGGTTCGCTCGAAGGCTGAGTTTTCAAAACCTTTTCATCGAAGGATGATTGTTTTTTAAGCCTTTTTATTGTTCGGAGCTGATATTATCGAAGCTCCTTTGCTTATACCGAGGGTAGCCTGATTAACC